GTTTCAATCTGCCCTTGTTTTTTCTTTTTGTTTTTCTTTTTCTTTTTATTTTTGCATGTTATCACTGTGCCCGTTTTTCGCTTTTATTCTTTGTTCCGCAAAGTGCGCTCTTTTAGTTTGTAGTGATGTGACAATATATATGTCACAGCCCCTCGTTTGTTGTCCTCTTCTCTCTCTCTGCCTACGGTTTACCGGGCAGTTCTGTTTGTGACGATATATATATATATTTCCTTGAGTGACACGTCGGGAGGCACTGTCACAGGCCACCGAGGGGAATTGTCGTAGCTCTGCTATCCTGGCTGCCTTCCTCTCCACCTTCCGGATTTTGTTTGTACTAGTTCATGAAATCAACAGCACAGAGACAACCATTGGACTCTTCTTTACCCATAGTAATGTACACCTTTACATGCACCGACCTACCGCGCAGAATAGCTAAGAGCAGGGTCTGTACAACCCCCTCAAACAGAGGTTCACCTACCTCTATCAGATGCCAGATTATCATTGACCAGAAAATATCATTTATGTATGGTCTCCTCTCCCATAGGAGAAAGGTACGAACCTTGTGCAGTCTTCTACTTTGATGCTCGGCCTGGTCTTGTTATCAGCCGAGGTAGACACTACAGGTCTACTTAGCTTCTGCACCCGGTCCTCTAGCTGCAGTATCTCTATGCAAGAGCTACTAATGTAACTGTGTGTTGGCCCTGGACCTGCAAGTGTGCCTGCCTTCTGCCCACCTCGACACACTTCTACCGCGATCAACTCTCCAATTTAGCATTGCTTTTCGCTACCCAGGATGCTCACAGGTTTGACTGTGAGGCCTCTATCTCAGGCTCCCCTAAGGATTCAGTCACGTTGCGAGAGAGCAAAGCTTTCACACGAACCACAATGCTTTTTTTTTTTTTTTTTTTTTTTGCACTGCTTCCCAGAATGGATATGGAGCCAGGCCCGTAAGGGGCCTGTTTTTTTTTTTTTTTTTTTTTTTTTTTACTATAGAAGTAGCTCCATGCCCAGTGTATGGCATTGAAACTCTGGAAGCACTATCCTCGTCAAGGACACTTCAAAGCGAGATTTGACCATGAGACCCTCCAGTGGATCAGAATGTAGCCCACAGGGCCCACACTATATAATCCGCTGAAGCGCTGGCTGTCATTAATTGATATGTTCGACTTCACGCTAAAGCATGGGAAAGGGAAGTACAGTGTGGTTGCTGATGCGCTGTCGAGAAGAACAGACTTTCCAAGCGCACTAGTGACCAAGTTTCCTTGATCTACGGCCGACAGGTGCTCCAGCAGGTGGAAAACTCCTACCGGACTGACAATGATATCGGTGACATCAACAAACTTCTCCATTCATAAGTTAGAGAGGTGAGCGAAGACTTCAGGATGATAGAGGGATTGCTGTTTCTGAGCAAGCATTCTTTCCGCCTTTTATCTCCCGAGCCGGTCTTGGAGGTACCCCACCCCCGCGTCGGGGGGGAAACGTGTGGGTGAGTGCAGCAAATTGTGTGACCTTTTGTCGGTCGATTCCTAGGTTTGAAAGACTTTGTGCCCGATTCTGGGCCTATTAAGAGCCTATTCGTAGGAGATTATCATGACACAACGGGACACTTTCGATTTAAAACGCCGGTACACGGCCCCCGCCTTGCAGTCCGAAACTTGTCGCCACAAGAAAACGAGGCCGAAACGTCAAACACTGGGCCCGCCGTTGATAAATTTGATCGGCGGCCCTGTTTTCGTTTGGCGCCTCCAGAATTTGAGGTGTCAGACCCGCGGCCCAAGTGTCCATGTACTC